AAATAGATTCCAATTTCAAAGGGAAAAATACATGTACAGCTAACACCTGCAACTTGTGCTCCCAAGTAGTTATTACTCTATAGTTCTGTGACAAAATATCTAGTTAAGTTAATTTAATCAAGGAAGCACCTTTTTTTGTCTAGTAGCTTGCAGGGATACAATTCATCATGGGAAGGAGTAACGGTGATATAGGAATTCTCAACTGTGATTTTCTCTCCCTTCTCACCTCCCTACAAAATAGGCTTCTTCCTTTCTATCTTTTGATTCTGTGTTCAGGTCAGTGAAAATGGTGCTACACATTTAGGTCTCCTGAGTTGGTACACTCAACTAAATCCTGTCAATCTGACAGCATATATTAGCACATTATTTTGACAGTTCATTCAACATACACATTAACTAATAATAAGCAATAGGCTAATGTTTCAGAACCTATTTGCTCAAAGACTTTATGAACAAGCAATAAGATAGACCCATATAAAATATGATTATCAAATAGCAAAGCATTCTTTGATAGCAAAGTGGATGAATAAGTAAATCAAACAGAAGGTAGACAAATAACAGAATAATCATGCAGGCTTAAAAACACTTTAAGTTTTGCCAAATATGGTCTCTAGTGCAGCATTAATTGTGAACATCCTATTGTACACCATGTCACAATCATCTCTCCCTTTTAGAATGCTGGTATGTGCAAGCTTATTTCTATCACCTTACAATTATTGAAGAGAATTATTTCTATTTCTGACCAAAGAAAGTACTAAGCACAATCAGAGATTGTATTAATCCTAGCTGGGAATGAAATACTACAGGCTTTCAGCAGTGTTGTTAACCAAAAATCAATAGACCTCCCATCTGTTAGTGTTATGAGACATTGGCTGTGTTTGTGGCTGAATGTGGTTCCACAGCCTGAGAACTTTGCTAAACCCTTAGTGTTACACATTTAAGATGACAGCCCTATATTTACCCTGTCAAAATTTCAGGTTCAATTTCTGTTTCGTCTAGTAACTTTATATTACTGCTAGTGTGGTATGATACAACTCAGAGTGGCATGTGATAGAACACTGATGCTTCCTTGGGGGCTTCTAAAAATGTTATTATGAAAACATGTTCTTGAATGTAAGGAAAGAGAAAAATTGATGAATGGATTGTTTTATTTGTTTTTAAATAACACTGAATATTTTTTATTTGTGAGGTCATAAGATACTATTTTATTTATTTTAAAAAAAATTTACATCCCAACCCCAGTTTCTTCTCCTTCCCCTTTTCCTGTCTCCACACTTTTCCCCACCATCCCACTCCAACCCACTCCTCAGAGGGAATAGTCATCTCTTTGAGAGTCACGAAATTCTGGGATACCAAGTTGAGACAGAACCAAGGTCCTCCCCCTGAATCAAGCTTGGCAATGTATCCTATTTTTGATAATGTACTCCAAAACTCCATTTCATGCACTAGGATAATGAATCCCAAATAGATCAAGCCATGTAAAGATCACCCACATTCATAGGACCTAGTTGTTCCCATGCAGGTTTCCACAGAGGTCAGTCCAGAGTCCATGAGTTGCCTCTAGCTCGGGTTGACTGTCTCTGTGGTTTTCCCCGTCATTAACTTGAGCCCCCTTGCTCATATGATCTGTCCTCCCATTCTTCAACTGAACTCCAGGAGCTAAGCCCTGATGTGAGTTTCGCGTCTGTATGCTGTGAATGTGTTTTATTACAATTGGTTAATAAAGAAGCTGTTTTGGCCAATTGATTAGCACAACAAATCCAAGTAGTAAATCTGAACAGAGATAGGGAGAGAGTGTGGGCATAGTAAGGGAGACACCATGTAGCCTATGAAAGAGAAAGATGCCCAAAACTTTATTCAATAAGCCACAACCTCATGGCCATATGCAGATTAATAGAAATGGGCTAATTTACGGTATAAGATCTAGCTAGAAATATGCATGAACTATTGGCCAAACAGTATTGTAATTAATATGGCTTTTATGTGATTATTCGAGGCCAGGTAGCCAGGAAATGTATGAGCAGCCTCTGGTTACAAAGCCCAGTGCTTGACAGTGAATAACTACATCTTCTTCCTTCTGTTACTGGATGTAGAGTCTATGATGGGAGTTAGGGTTGTCACTAATCTGATTATAGGGGAAGGCCAGTTCAGACACACTTTCCATTATTGCTAGCAGTCTTAGCTCGGGCCATCCTTGTATATTCCTAGTTTTCCTAGCATGTAGTATCTTCTTAACACAAAGCTTGTTCTCTCTATCACAAAATCTCTTTCATTGTTCTCCCTTTCATGCCCTCCCTCAACCTGGCCATCTTGATGCTTCAGGGTCTCATGCCCATTCCCCTCCCTACATCCCCTTCCCAGTTTACTCTGAATATCTTAACTATTCCCTCTTCCTTTGACCCTCCTTGCATGTCCCTCTTAGGATATTCCTTTTTACCTAGCTTTTCTGATACTGTGAATTGTAGCCTGGTTATCCTTTGTTTTAAGTCTAATATCTTACTTATGATTGAGAACATACCATGTTCATCTTTCTGGGTCTGGGTTACCTCACTCAGGATGGTTTTATCTAGTTCCATCATTTGCCTGAAAATTTCAAGAAGTCATTCTTTTTTTTTTTTTTAACCACTGAGTGTACTCCACTGTGTAAATGTACCACATTTTCTTCATCCATTCTTCAGGTCTCACCTGAAGGGCATCTAGGTCACGTCCAGGTTCTAGCTATTATGGTGCTATGAACATAGTTGAACATATGCCCTTTGTAATATGAATGTGATTCCTTTGGGTACATACTCAAGGGTGGTATTGCTGGGTCTTGAGGTAGATTGAACCCAATTTCCTAAGAAACCATCATATTGATTTCCAAAGTGGCTGTACAATTTTGCACTTCCACCAGACAAGTATTCCTCTTACTCTAAATTCTCTCCACCATAAGCTGTCAACAGTGTTTTTGGTCTTAGACATTCTGGTAGGTGCCAGATTATTGTTTCTCATACTGATATCTGAAATAATCCTGTGCCTACATATGAACATATACACATTTTAAAATGAACATATTTTCATTACATTATTTTTTCCCAGTCTGGTAACTCCAATCTAAGGCCTACTGATAGTCAAGCAATCTACTTCTGAGTTACATATTCAAGTTAATACATTTATTTTAAAAAGTACTTTTGCCCATGTTGCATATACACTATTGATAATGGTAGTATAGTGTTGGGGGAGGCTGCTTGTTCATTTCTTGGCCAATCAGACTCCTGAAATATTCACACATAAACTATATTATTTAAATCACTGCTTGTCTAATCACTTAAGTGTAGTTATTGCTTACTATTGCATCTTAAATTAACCCATATCTATTAGGTTAAATTTTACTATGAGGCTCATGGTCTACCAGCAAAGCTCCAGCTGGCAGCTTGTGTCTGTCGCCGCTGGTGGCTACAAGGCATCTCACTCACTCCGCCTTCTTTCACCCAGCATTCAGTTCAGTTTTCCCAACCTAGTGCTACTCTGCCCTATCAGAAGCCAAAACAGCTTTCTTATTCATGAACCAATAAAAACAACATGTACAAAAGGACTTCCCACACCAGTATAGAAGGTTTCTTCAATGTTCTTTGTCTTATAAGTACAGAAATTCTCACAAATAGTCATCAGTTATATATTATGATTACATTTGTCTGTTTTAAACATGTCAATTCACGATCAATTCTCGTACTGATTTTAAACAATTACTTTTGTTAGGATTATTAGAATAGTAACTAAAAATGATGGATTTACCATAGATATTATTGAATTTTATAACATCAAGAAATACAGCAGTTGAAACCTAAAGTAGTAAAGATAAGCTTATCATTCCATTGATCTAATTTAATCTTTTAGTATAGTTCAGTCACCCAAATAAAAATTATCATAAATTAGAGTCAAAACATATGCTTTTTGAAAAAATAACTTTTCAAAGGCATATTTGGGACAAGTTTGTTATAACTGAGGGAGAAATGACTTGATTTAGTTTGACATATCTGGAAAAATAAGTTAGGAAGAGATTTCTCAGATCAATGCAGTGGGGAATTTTTTCTTGTATCCCTCAGATAATGCTTGTTGTTATGTACTTCTAGGTTTTCTGATTCATCAGATTCTAGTGACCTTTTTTTCCCTGAAAATAGTTTTATAGATATAATTTAAATTGAAATTTTAAAGATCAAAGGGTGACATAGACAAAGACCTAAAGCATAAACAGGCACAATGGGTACGTCCTTGTAACTATAGTCAAGCACTTTGTACAGCAGGAAATAAATAGCATTGTATGTTTAAAAGGCTGAAACCTGATCATTTCCTCATGATTACTTCATATGGCAAACTTTTATCATGGAACCTTAGCATGTGTCCATCTGTGCTCTCTATTTTAAGGAGATTAAAGGATGAGTTCTATCCACTCAGTATCAAATATCCAAATAATTTCATTATGAATTAATCTAACTTCAGTTTAGATTTAATTTTTGCCCATATCTTCTCAGACTATAGCTTATAAATCTCAGTGTTAAGATTTGCAAAATGAACTTAGTCTAGTCATATGTCTTCCTATTTTATGTTTCACTAATGACTGGACTAAATAAATTCATAAGCACTTTTTTGTTATCCTTCTTTAATGTGGTTATTATTATGAAACCATACTTCACTTGTATGTTTACACTGTTAGCATACAAGGGCACATTTCATGCACAAAAAGACTTCACTTTTTGGATTTATAATAAATGAGAAGAAAATTTCATGGAGAAAACTTTGGATATCAAATAGAGACTGATTCCTGCTATTGAAATTTATAAGGTAAAAGGACTTGGCCACATTATATAACCTCTGTGAATTGTATCTGCATAATGAGGTGGTAAAACAAAATGTATACCTGTTCTTTGCAATACAATTAAGAATTAAATATCTTCAAATAATAAAATATTAATGAAAATATGAAGAGTATGAGAAATAATTCATTAAGTTATTCAATGTACCTTGTTGAGGTCAAAAATTATTCCATTGTGTTAAAGTTTCTCTCCTTGTCGTATTTGTATTACACTGTGGATAAAAAAAAAACAAAATTGTAATGAACAATATGTCAATTTATGATAAATATTATTAGTAAAAAGGTAAAATCTATAAAAAGGAAAGGAAAGTTTGGGAATATTATCTGACATTTCAAGGTCAAGCACGTAGTCTAGAAAGCAATATGGGTAACATAGCACATGAGAAAACTTAATGCATAACTTAGGGACCCTCAACTTCGAAACATGCTTATAATTCAAAGTATCATATTCAAAGTTAAAGCGGCTAAAGGTACTGAAATGAAACAGAAATTAGAACCACAAATTATAAAGTTTCGATTCATGACTTACCGCTGAATGAATAAGGATTGAAAATGAGTGACTTAGAAGTCTTCTGGTTTCACTTTCACTTTATCATGATCATCATGACATTTGTTTTAAAATCCAATCCAGGAAACACAACTAGAAAATCAGGAATGCAGGTTAAGTGTGAACAAGTAAGCCTGTGGCTGATTGCAGGAACACTGTGACTACACATGATCTTTCATTATACCGAGGTACAGACCCATGAGCAAGCCATTCCCCAGAGTTAGTCATCAACCAATCCGAACTGTTCTCTTTTGCATGGAAGGAAACAGAATCAAAAAGGACTACTTCTTAATATATATGATGATGGGGAAGCTCAGCCAATCACATCTGGCTAGGTGTGACCGCCTGGAGCACGGGTAGAAAAATGGGTAGATATGTGCGGACTGGTGCTAACCGGACCATTTTGGATTTCGGACCTTCCATTCTTGTAGTGTAAGTTCCTCCCTTTTTCAAGTATTAAATTATATCTGTTGTTCTTGAGCTGGTATGGTTATTTATCATCAACAATATTATATTTTATTGGTGTTTTAATAAATAAAACTTACCTGAAGATCAGATTGCAAAGCTAGACACAGTAGTCAGCCACAACAGTCACACTAGTTAGCCATAGAGGCCGGGTGGTGGTGTTGCACATATATCCTTTAATACCAGCACTAGAGAGAAATATAAGGCAAGATGAGACACAAAGTCCCTCTCCTTTAAAACTGAAGATTTCATGGAGGTAAGAGCTCTCTAGTGGTTGACAGTTTTGCTTCTCTGATCTTTCAGCTTGAACCCCAGTAACTTTCTTTGGGGTTTTCATTGTATCATAGAAGGAAGCATGGCAGCACACAGGCAGACTTGATGCTAGAGGAGTAACTTAGATTTTGGCTTCCTGGTCCCCAGGCAGGAAAAGAGAATCCTGGGCCTGGCAGGAGCTTTGGAATCCTCAAAATCCACTGTTGCAGTTTAGATGTAATTGACCTACATAAGATCATAGTGAATAGCAATGTTGGGAGGTGGATATGGATTTTGCTTTAGTGATTTCAAGTTAAGGTCAATTTTGTTTT